GGAGAGGGAGGGACTCGGAGTGAGAGTGCTCACCCACCTGCCCCAGGGCACATGCTCAGAGTGTCACCAAGCGTCCCGGGGTCTTGCACATCTGTTTCTTCTGCCCGGCATCCATCTTCCCTTCTGCTAATTGTTCTTGATTTTCTTGTAGGAAACCGCTTTTTCTACCACTTTTACCAGCCAGTCCTGCTCTACACGGTCCTGAAAAGATCAACTGGTTCCAGGTCCAGGGCTGAGCCTAGGACCCTAGACTGAGTCACTGGAGTCTCCAGCAGTCGGTTGGGGCAAGCACTTATGCACGAATCTTAACCCACTGCAGCTTGAGATGGGTCTGTTGATGGAGCTGTGGGGACAAGGGAGAGAAGGCATTGAACCTAGGTCCTTCTAGTCTCCCCCCCACACACACACACCCAGCCGAGCAGAGAACAATTCCAATGGAGAGGACATGGACCCAAGGAAAGACAGGTGTAAAAGTCTCTCTGGATCGCCTTTAGCGTTCCCATCTAGAAAATAAGAAGGTTGGATTCTAGGACCCCTAAGGTCATTTTGTCTCATGGAATTGTGCTGGAGGGCACAAAGGAAACCCAAGGGTGCTGTGATATGCAGGTGTTTGGGAAGGGGGAAAAAGAAACGAAAGAAAAACCTTCCCTTGTTCTCAATTGACTTAACCTTCTCTCTGGTTGGTGTGTGTGTGTGTGTGTGTGTGTGTGTGTGTGTGTGTGTGTGTGTGTGTGCGCATGTGCACACGTGCGTTCACACCAGTACTGGGGCTTGAATTCAGAACTTTGTATTCTCACTCAGCTTTTTTGTTCAAGGCTGGTACTCTATCACACCTCTTCTTCAGCGGGGGACAGTGCCTTGTTAAAGCTTCATGACTGACAAAAAAATGAATAAAAAGACCCAACTATATGCCAGCATTTTTTTTTGTAGGTTGTGTGGCTTGAACTCTGGGCCTGGACACTGTCCCTGAGCTCTTCAGCTCAAGGCGAGCGCTCTACCACTTGAGCCACAGGTATACTTCTGGTTTTCTGGTGGTTTAATGGAGATAAGAGCCTCACAGACTTTCCTGCCTGGGCTGGCTTTGAACTGTGATCCTCAGATCTCAGCCTGCTGAGTAACTAGGATTACAGGCGTGAGCCACTGGTGCCTGGCTCCAACTATATGCTACTTACAAGAAACTCACTTTACCTCTAACATCAGAAATAGACTGAAAACAAACGGATGGGAAAAGAAATTCTATGCAAATGGAATCCAAACAAAATCCAAACCCTAGGCTGGGACTCTACCACTTGACCCACAGCTTCACTCCTTCATTGGAGATGAGAGTCCCGTGGATTTTCTTGCCCAAGCTGGCCTTGAACCTCAATCCTCAGATCTCAGCCTCCAAAATAACTAAGTGAGCCACCAGCACCAGGCTCACTTTCCATTTTCATTAAATCCAGAATCTTCCACCCAGAGAGAGAAGCAAAATCCTCCTCATTTTCAGCCATCTCAAACTTCTTGACAATCTTAGTTTACTGATTGTATTGCCTGCGAGGGATCAGAGCTGTGTCTTTAAAATGAAACAGCACAGATGTTGTACAAGATGCAAAAGGATCAAGAAAAAATACATCTACACAAATACATATAGCATATATATATGCTATATAGTATCTATTGATATTACATAATATTACCTACATTATAATATATAGTATATATTATACTATGAACTATATATACTATATTATATAAAAGTATAATACTATATAGCATATACTGTATATATAGTATATAATATAGTATACAGTCTATACTATATTATTTTATATATCATATTATGATATTATATATACTATATAGCATAATATATGTACAATATACTATATAATATATACAACATATACAATATACTATATATGATATACTATATACTATAATATAGTGTATATATAACATATATACTATATAGTATATATGTATTCTATAATACCATATTATATACTATCATGATATATATTATATGTACATTATATAATATATACACTATATTGTGTATGTAACATATGTATATATAACATATGTCATATAATATAGTATATGTAGTATATATGTGTATATATAGTATATAATATACAGTATATAACATATATACCGTAGTACTATATATGGTATATATTATAGGTAATATATACAGTTGTAATATAGTAATTATGTAATATGTCACATACTGTATTAGGTATAATATATAGTATATATATAGTATATCATATATAGCATGTGTGCGTGTGTGTGTGTGTGTGTGTGTGTATATATATAGTAGCACGTGTGTGGAATTTTGCTCAGCCAACAGGAAGAACAACAGTATGTCTTTCACATGGAAATGGGTGGACCTGGAAAAATAAGTATGTGAAGTGAAGTAAGTCAGACTTGGAGAGACAGAGGATGCATGTTTTCTGTCATAGGCGGAAGTTGTGTCTAAATTATAAATACCTATGAAACGTACGCAAATACACACGAGAGGTTTCTAATGGCGTGACTCGTTCGAATCACTTACAGGTTAACAGGATGAATTCTAGGAATCTGAAAGGCAAGTTAAGGAGAGGCACAGGCAGGTGATTAGAGAGAGGAAGGATGGCTGGATAATCTCAATATTTAATGTCCATGGGGGGGTGTAGTCATGGAGATGGGAGGGAAGGGATGGTAGGGGAAAAACCAAAGAGGAGGCAACAATGCTTGATACGAAATGTACTCATTACCTTGCTCATGTAATTGTAACCCCTCTGTACGGTATTTTCACAATAAAAACTATTTAATATTAAAAAAAAAAAGAAATGAGCCGGGCTCTGGTGGCTCACACCTGTAATCCTAGCTACTCAGGAGGCTGAGATCTGAGGATCGCGGTTCAAAGCCAGCCCGGGCAGGAGAGACCGTGAGACTCCTATCTCCAATAAACCACCAGAAAACCGGAAGTGGCGCTGTAGCTCAAGTGGTAGAGCACTCGCCTTGAGCTGAGGAGCTGAGGGACAGCGCCCAGGCCCAGAGTTCAAGCCCCACGGCTGAAAAAAAAAAGAAAAAGAAAAAGTATTTAATGTCTATGTGTGAACATGAGCCAGGTCATCTGAGGGGAGGGGTGGGGCTGGGAGAGTTGGGAAAGACCAATGGAAGGAGTGCTAGGGGCCCAGATACATGGTACTCATAAACTTGACATGCTGAAACTCCAAGCTACAACTACATAAAGATAATTAAAAAATAATAGCCAGGTGCTGGTGGCTCACACCTATAACCCTAGCTACTCAGGAGGCTGAGGATCTGAGGATCATGGTTTGAAGCTAGCCCCCCAGCAGGAAAATACATGAGACTCTTATTTCCCATGAGCCACCAGAAAACCCAAAGTGGCACTGTGGATCAAAATGGTAGAGCTCTACCCTTGAGTATAAAAGCTCAGGGACAGCACCCAAGCCCTGAGGTTTAAGCCCCCTGCATACATATACACACACAATTTTTTTTTTACAGTAACCAACTCACAAATACCAAAGTCACAAATTGAGAATAGCAGAGGGAATCTGAGAAAGAGTTCCAAGGGAAGGAGAAGGTTCGGAGAAATCTATCTTGAGTCTCGTGTCATCCTCAGCAGTGAGATTATTTCAGGAAAGCGTTGGCTTACCCTAGTAAATCCACAAAGACATGTTCGTATCGAGAGATGAAATGATGTGGGTTATGGCTGGAATAAATGCTGTCATTTTGTGGGAGGAGCAAAGCCCTGGCCTGCCTCTTCTGTCCAGCAGCAAGGATAATGACAGGTTCTCAGATTCCAGTAGAGAGTTTGCATCTGAACATGAGGACTTCACCCAGGCGCCATGGCCCGCCCAGGAAAATGCCCACTGGGAATTAAGACAAGTTCAGCTTCCTTCTTCTTCCTTTCCACAGATGGTCCTTTTCGTCTCCCTTCAGAACCTCACTTCGAGGAGACAGCGACTGCTCCTGTCTTACCACCGTGAGAGAAAACAGCGCTCAGAAGGAATCTCAGGGTCCAAGGTGGTGAGAACTTGGGAAGAATGCAGGGAGGGGGGTGTTTAGGCACTTTCTTGGAGACAGAACAACTGAATTTGGGCTCTGGTTTCAATGCTGCTGCTTTCTACTATGTGACCTTAGCCAGATTCCTTTATTTCAACAAAGCCTTAAACCAGATGGCTGGTGGCTCACGCCTGTCATTCTAGTTACTCAGGGGGCTGAGAGCTGAGGATCACGGTTCAAAGCCAGCCCGGGCAAGGAAATCAGCAGCCAAAAGCTGGAAATGGAGCTGTGGCTGAAGTGGTAGAGTGCTCACCTTGAGCACAAAAGCTAAGGGAGAGAGCCCCAGGCTCTGAGTTCAAGCCCTAATTACCAGCACACACACATTCACACACACACACACCACACACACACACCTTATTTAATTTGTAGCATTTATTTATATTTATATACTAGCGTGCAGGAAAAATACAATGTCTATCCTCTTAACAAAGCGTTTAGTAAATTAGCTAAGGCCTTCATTATTAAAACTCACTAGTATCATCCATGGAATCGAAACCGCTTTGTATCACTACGTAATGATATTTTTTACATTTATTTTATTTATGTGGTACCGAGGACTCGAACCCAGAGCCTCATGCATGCTAGGCAGGCAAGCAGTCTATCACTAAGCCACAATCCAAGTCCAATATATATATATAAACTTAAAAGAAGCTATCACCGGTGCTGTGGCTGTTCCTATCACCGCCACTGGGTGGCAGCAGTCAGGCCCTAACTCCCTGGCCATGCCCCTTCTTCTACTCCTTTCCCTCCCCTGGGCTCTCAGGGCCGGAGGGGCGGAGCCTCCTGGAAGTGGGCGTGGCCTTGCTCAGCTCAAGCCAGAGCAAGCTCAGCAGCAGAAGGTGCAGGGGCCTTGGGGCTTTTACACCTGCCTTGAACACGTTTCCCATCACCTCCTCCCAGCTCCGATCTCCTTGGCACCCTGAGTTCTCTTATCTGAAGCAATCATGCCTGTGACAGAGAATGCCCGGGGTCCCCAGGAAGCCCCAGCCTTCACCTTAGACCACATGTCACCTCCCCAAAGCACCAAGAACCTACAGAGCAAAGACTCCAAGTGCTTGAATGGAAACTCTCCAGAACCCTCTGCAGTGGAGAACCCCAAAGGCATAACGTGAGTACTGTTGCCTGAGTCCTGCGTTTCTGGCCATGATCCAGGGTGGGTGGGTATCTGACCCCCTCAATCCATTGCACAGAAGGGGGAAAAAAAATCAAGGCTGCAAAAGCTACACTGAGGGGCCTGTGTCCAGTGAGAATTTGTTGGTTGGTTTGTTTTCTGCTGGTCCTGGGGCTTAAACTCAGAGCCAGGGCACTGTCTCTGAGCTTGCTTGTTTGCTTGCTTGCTTTTTTTTTTTTTTTTTTGCTGGCTCTCTACCACCTGAGCCACAGCTTTTTGGTGGCTCATTGGCGAGAAGAGTCTCATGGACTTTCCCGTCTGAGCTGGCTTGGAACCACGATCCTCAGATCTCAGCCTCCTGAGTAGCTAGGGTGACAGGCATGAGCCACAGGTGCTGTGCTTACTCCTGCTGATGTGATAGGCCATTTCCTTATATTTTGGGGTGTGAAGGTGGGGCTTTGAACTTAAAATTATAATGGCTTCCTCCATACTTAAGCTTTACCCCCTCCCTGGGGAAAGCCCAGCCTCTTCCACTGAGAATTTTTCAATATGTGGAAGATTTTTTTCAGATCTTTCATAGGGAAGCCTTGCTTGGTCCTACTTTCCTTGTACGCAGAGCAGGGTCAAGCAACTATCCCTGTGAATACAGGAGAACTTTGGTAGAAACCCAAGATAAACACAAAGCAAGCTGGGCACCGGTGGCTCACGCCTGTCATCCTAGTTACTCAGGAGGTTGAGATCTGAAGGTCGTGGTTCAAAGCCAACTTGGTCAGGAAAGTCCCTGCAACTCTTTTGTTGTTGTTAATGATGTTGATGATGATTATGGGGCTTGAACTCTGGGCCTGGGCACTGTCCCTCAGCTCATCAGCTCAAGGCTAGCACTCTACCAGTTGAGCCACAGCACCACTTCCAGTTTTCTGAGTGGCTAATTGGAGATCAGAGTCTCACGGTCTCTCCTGCCCAGGCTGGCTTTGAACCACGATCCTCAGATCTCAGCCTTCTGACTAGCTAGCATTACAGGTGTGAGCCACCAGCTCCCAGCCCCTGTGACTTGTATTACCAAGGAACCACCAAAATAAAAACAAAATATCAGAAATGGAGCAATCAAGCTGTGGCTCAAAGTAGTAGTGTGCTAGCCTGGAGCAAAGGGGAAAAAAAAAGGCTCACGGGAAGTGCTCAGGCATTAAGTTCAAGCCCCAGGACTGGCACAAAAATAAAAGACTGGAGAGTTGGAACAGGGAGAAGTTCCAGGAAGAGGAGGAAGAATCTTTCCCCACAGGCATAACCACATAGGAACAGACACAGTGGCTGGCACTGTGACACTACACAGCCTCCTCAAGGCTGGTCCTGTGGGACCAGGGAGGGTGGGGGTGAAGCACCCAGGCCATTGGCTGAACAGCAAAGGGATATTTCTCAACCAGAGGCCATTATGGGATCTAGCTAGCTCTGCTATCCTGAATAGACACATGGTTTGGATACCCGTATAGGAGTCAAGCCAAGAAGCCTAGAGGGACTTGTAGCTTGGAGAGAAGACCTATCACATGCCAAATAACCATGATCCCATGCAATCGGTGCCCTTCTACACCCTTTTTATTTTTTTCATCCCAGTCCTAGGACTTGAACTTGGGGCCTCGGCGCTGTCTCTGAGCTTTATCACTCAAGGCTAGGGCTCTACCACTTTGAGCCACAGAACCACTTCTGGTTTTCTGGTGGTTCACTGGAGATGAAGAGTCTCATGGACTTTCCTGCCCAGGTTGGCTTTGAACTGGGATCCTCAGATCTCAGCCTCCTGAGTAACTAGAATGACAAGGCGTGAGCCACCAGAGACCCCGGCCCCACTGTCTCTCTTGCCAGCTTAAGCAAGAGAAAGATCTTCTCTGGGCCAAGTGTCTCCTGGGTGAAAGGAAAAGATTTGTTCTCTCGCGGGGGGGGGGCACACAGAAGATGGGGGTACAATGTCCTCCTTCACCTTCTCAGTCAAGGCCGGTGATGCTGGCCACAGCCTAAGATCACCACAGCCTGAAGGCTGGAATCCGGGTCCCCTGGCTTCCCTGTTCAGAACTCTGCACGATCTACCACACTGTGTTGACATGTTGGTTGAACGGTGGAGCCCTGAATTCTGATTTCCTAAGTCCTTTACTTAGAAATTCCCCAAGTGACCCGCTGACCCTTTTCCAGTTGCAAAATAAGCCCCTCACTGGGAGCCCCTGGGGTTTGGTGCTGGGTCAACAATGTTGACACCCACCCACGGGGAGAGAGAAAGGCATGCCGAGGCTCTAAGTGCTGCCTTTAACCCTTGACAAATCGACGGACAGATCCTAGGGAAGACAGATTAGGAGAGGGGCTTGGGGCAGAGATTCGGGGATTCTTTCAAAATAGCATTATTCTTCATTTTTACACCCGAGATGACAATAGCCACTGGAGTTGACTTTTGTGTGTGTGTGTGTGATAGTGTGTGTGTGCGTGCCAGTGCTGGGGCTTGAACTCAGGGCCTGGGCACTGTCCCTGAGCTGCTTTTGCTGAAGGCTAGCACTCTACCACTTGAGCCACAGCACCACTTTTGGCTTTTTCAGTGTATGGGGTACTGAGGAATCGAACCCAGGGTTTCATGAATGCTAAGCAAGCACTCTACTGCTAAGCCACATTCCTAGCCCTTGAACTGACTCTGTGTGTGTGTGTGTGTGTGTGTGTGTGTGTGTGTGTGTGTGTGCCAGTATTGGGGATGAACTCAGGGCCTGGGGCACTGTCCCTGAGATTTTTTTTTTTCTTCTCAAGGCTAACGCTCTACCACTTGAGTTATAGCTCTACCTCCAGCTACTTTTCTACTCTACTTCCAGACTTTTCTGCCCTGGCTAGCTTTGAACTATGATCTTCAGGTCTCAGCTTCCTAAGTAGCTAGGGTTACAGGCATGAGCCACTGGTACCTACCTAGTAGGTGACATTTCATCCCTTGTTTGTCTAGTTCAAATCTAGGATCCTTCAAGGGTCACTCTGTTGCTTTTCAGACAGACACCTGGGCTGGTGAAGGTTCTTCTGAAGGTCTGGAGTTTCAAAAGCTGTTAAAAACAAACAAACAAAAAACCCTAATACTAAACCAGGCTCCAGTGGCTCACGCCTGTCATCCTAGCTACTCAGGAGGCTGAGATCTGAGGATCACAGTTTAAAATCAGCTAGGGTAAGCAAGTCCGTGAGACTTTTTTTTTGCCAGTCCAGGGGCCTGAACTCTGGGCCTGGGCACTGTTCCTCAGCTCTTCAGCTCAAGGCTAGCGCTCTACCACTTGAGCCACCATGCCATTTCTGGCTTTTTCTGCTTATGTGGTGCTGAGGAATTGAACTCAGGGCCTCATGCATGCAAGGCAAGCGCTCTACCACTGAGCCACCTTCCCAGCCCTGTGAGATTCCTATCTCCAATGAACTACCAAAAAAGCCAGAAGTGGCTCTGTGGCTTAAGTGGTAAAACTCCAAGCTTGAGCAGAAAAAGCTCAGGGACAGCACCCAGGCACTGAGTTCAAGCCTCAGGACTAGCACTCACACACACAAAAATAATAATAACCATTTAGGCCAGGTGCCAGTGGCTCACACCTGTAATCCTGGCTACTCAGGAGACTGAGATTTGAGGATCGCGGTTCACAGCCAGCCCGGGCAGGAAAGTCCGTGAGACTCTTATCTCCAATAAATCACCAGAAAACTAGAAGTGGTGCTGTGGCTCATGTGGTAGAGTGCTGGCCTTGAGCTGAAGAGCTGAGGGACAGCGCCCAGGCCTAGAGTTCAAGCCCCATGGCCGACCAAAAAAAATAAAATAAAATAACCACCTAGTACTCACATAGATTTCATGGAATCCAGGTACGAAAAGGTGCAGAAGTAGATTGTCTTACAATTGTCCAGCACGGAGAGGGCCTTTCTGGACTGTCCCCTGAGGACTGAGACTTGGGGAAGGTCAGCTCTCTGAATTCACCTTCACATCTGCCTTAGAGCGAGAGCTTTGCACCCTGGTTTGGATTTGCTAACGGGCTGTGCCATTCCCCGCATGTGACGTCCTAGAATGGGAAAAAAATTGTCCTCTAGAGACCAATCCCCAAGGGACCCAAGCCATCTGACCTGTTCATCCGGAAGTCCCAGTGACTCCTTTCTCCTGTCTGCCCTTCTCCCTTGGCTTGGAGTTCATTTCTGTTGTCGGCCATAGTCCGTGACCTTGGTCTAGGCGCTGTCGCCTCTCTGAGCCTCTGTTATCTTGCTTGATGAAGTGGGAGTCACACTGATACACAGTCTTACCCGTGCCTCAGTTCCCCCCATTTATCAACAAAAGGATTATGCTCAGCACTTAGTACTACTTCGTAGTCTTAATCCAGTGGACAAAAATGAGATAATAATATATATACGTAGCAGAGTGTCTGGTATGCTGAGTGCTACTGTGGTCTAGGGTTGATGTTAGCCGCTTCAATCCAGATGTTTCTGGGACAGGTGGAATGGTAAGGCACTCCACAAATGGCCTGGATATGACAGGCCAGGGGGCAGGAGCTGTGTCCTTGTGTGTCTGTATATTCTTATATATTCTTGTATATCTGTATATTCTTGTATATCTCTATATCTTTGTATATTCTTGTATATCTGGAGATCCTTATATATTCTTGTATATCTGTACATCTTTGTATATCTGTATATCTTTGTGCCCTCTTGAAGATCTGTATATCTTTATATATTGTATATCTGTACATCCTTATCTATTCTTACATATCTGCACATTCTTATGTATCTGTATTTATTTGTATATACTTGTATACCTGTTATATCCTTGTAAATCCTTGTATATCTGTATATTCTTATATATTTGTATACCCTTGTATATTCTTTTTTTTGGGGGGGGGTCCGGTTGTGGGGCCTGAACTCTGGGCCTGGGCGCTGTCCCTCAGCTCTTCAGCTCAAGGCTAGTGCTCTACCACTTGAGCCACAGCGTCACTTCTGGCTTTTTTCTTTTGGCTTATGTGGTGCTGAGGAATCGAACCCAGGGCCTCAGGCATGCAAGGCAAGCGCTCTACCACTGAGCTACCTTCCCAGCTCTACCCTTGTATATTCTTGAATATCTGTTTATCCCTGTATATTCTTATATATCTGTATATTGTTGCATATCTGTATATCATATACTTGTATATTCTGTATATCCTTGTATATCTGTATATCCTTGTAAATCTTTGCATATCTGTATATCCTTGTTAATTCTTATAGATCTGTATATTTTGTATATTTTATAGATTTTTTATCTGTATATCTTTGTATGTCCATATATACTTACATATTTAAGTATCCTTATAAATCCTTGTATATCTGTATATTATTTGTGGGGGGGGGCATTTCAGGGCTTGAACTCAGGGCCTGGGCACTGTCCCTGAGCCGCTCTGAGCTCAAGGCTAGCGCTCTACCACTTGAGCCACAGCACCACTTCAAGCCTTTTCTGTGTATGTGGTACTGAGAAATTGAACCTAGGGCTTCATGCATGCTAGGCAAGCACTCTACCACTAAGCCACCTTCCCAGCCCTGTATATTCTTATATATCTGGGTACCCTTGTATATTCTTGTATATCTGTTTATCCTTGTACATTCTTATATATCTGTATATCCTTGTGTATCTGTATATCATTGTATATTCATGTATATACCCTTGTATATTTATATATTCTTGTACATCTGTATATCTTTGT